AAATCAATTTCTCTTTGTATTGAACTAAAAAGAGAGAAGATTGGGTGTAGACCTCTTCTTCTTCGAGTGATGGGATGCCCACTGTAGTGAGGGTGGTCTCGACACTCGTCTTTCAATGCGAAGACACGAATTTATCCACCATTTCCTTTCACAACTTTCTTCCACAATTTTTCACACCTAAAACCTCGGTCCTGTACCGAGTGCATTTTCAAATCTTTTCATAACAAAAACTTGAATGGTCGTGGAGTGGTTAGGCGTAGGCCTTCTCCTATCCCGAGTGCTGACGTTTACCATAGGGTTCTCTGTCGCAAAGCACTTACCATTCAAAACCAAAAACATCTTTAATAAGAGAACGAAATTTTCTTTGCATTGAATTAAAGAGAGGGGATTGGGTGTAGACCTCTTCTTCTCCGAGCGTAGGGATGCCCACTGTAGTGAGGGTGGTTTCGACGCTCGTCTTTCAATATGAAGACGCCTCGTTCGCCACACCCTTTTATGACAAAAACTTTGAGATAAAGAATTGGGTGCTACCCGTAGGGGTTACTATCCGAGGACCTATCTCACCCCTAAAAAACAATCCAATCAATCAAACGTGACTTCTTGCCTCGCGTGGCGAAAACTAATCAATCTTTCAAAAAGGATATGTTACGTCCGTTCTACCGCAAACAGGTAACGCCTAAGTCTCCAATGAGCGAGCAGCGAAACACCTAAACTGCTAGAATGCGCACGATAGCATCATCCGTAAAAACATCAACACACCGTAGGCCGAACTACGGCTGCTCTGATTTCTCGTTCCAGATGAGAATACGTAGGCACAAGACGGCGATGTCTTGGCGAGCACTTTCCCCCCTATATCTGTAGTTTCCCGAACTACGTCGACTCTGACTTTCTCACATCTATTGAGAATACGTAGGCATAGGACTGCGAAGTCCTACCGAGTCTGTTCTTTCTCTTTTCTTCCCCGTTCTCTCTTTCCTCCTAACTTTCTTGTTTCTAACCCTTCTTTTACCCCGTGGAACACTTCTTATAGCATAATGTTTAAGCAAATAAATTCACACGCCGACAAACAAAAGGTTCCCATCGAGTACGATGGATGCGAGGGGTGCTAATACCTTCCCCTCGCATAACCGGCTTCCGAACCCGTTCATGGTTGCGAGATCATCTTATCCGTTCGTTTCTTAAGGTTTTCTCGATATTTTCCTTTCCCCTCATGGGATAAATAAAGTTCGGTGGCGACTCTTCTGTCTATCTTTTTCGCCTCCCCGTCGTTGCGCGATGCATTTTTCGAGTAGCGACACATAGGATTGGTAACTTTGTATACACAGATTTCAAACTCGTTGTAAATGAAATATTGTATCTATTCCTCTTGCTATTCAGGATTGCTGAAGCAAGTGTGTGCATCGAAGAGGATTGTTCTTCTTGCACTTAGTGTTCAGACTTTAAAGGTGTTAAGAGCCTTTAATCTACCTATAGGTTAGATAGTAAGTTGTACACTCATTCTAACTATAGTGAAATCTCTTTCGGTGTGAAAGGGGACTGGATGTACCTTCAGAGTATGGAGGAAACCAGGATAATTCTCTGTGTTATTTACTTTCTGCACTTTACTGCTTTCATAACCCCTTCATATCTCATAGAAAGTAATAACCTCATTCGATACAAATCAAAAAATTTCATAGAAAGTAATATTGATTTAGTATATACTAATTTATTAATTTGAATATGTAATATTAATTAACTAAATAAATAAATTCAATTAATATATCAAATTAATTTATACTAAATTAATATTCAATTAATATTTAAAGTATATTAAAATGTATATTAATTATATATATTAATTGAATATATTAATATTTAAACATTTAAATTATTTATTTATTTAATTAATATTAAATATTAATTAATTATATAAATATATTCAATTTATCTGTAAATAAATTTACTTTAATTAAAACAAAAGTGTAATCAAAATATTTAAAATATATTTGTTTAATCAAACAAACTAAGTATAAAATATGTATATTTAAATGGGATAAAAAAATGTAAAGCAAACAACATAGTCTAGTGTTATGGGTGCTAGGTATTGGAGGGAGGGGACCTGAGTTCAGCTTCTCCTTGTTATAAAATTTTGATTTTTTAAGTATTAATATTTCTAATTTTAAAAAAAATCAAAAATAAAAACCACTTATATTTCATAAAAATAATAATAAAAAACTTATTTAAAAAAATGCCAACTTGACAATCATTTTCATTAAAAAAGAAATTAAAAAAACATTCCTTCAAATCATTATTTTTGATTATTGAATTTCTTGAGGAGACAAAACACGAGAATTTTCATAAGGTAGGGAGGGATTCCAAACTATATTTTTTACCGGAGATTTTTTCAAAAATCGTTCACACAATTTCATAACCCATTAATTAAATTCACACAATTTTAATTAAATAAATAAATAAACAGGGTGTTATACTTTCGCATCAAATGAACCGATGTTAACCAATGGTCGAGAAGGTCAAACTCTCTCCCTACTAACATATGCATGTTGGCACATTGCTCCGTGCCTCAGTAGTTCTTGGTTGTATGCCATGTCACCTGCAATTAAACTAGATAAAATAGACAAATCAGAAGGAAAAAAATAAAACCAAGTTGAAAGAAAACAAAATCAAATACTGCAAATAAAATCCAAAAATGAATTTATGTATTTTTGTAAAATCAAATTCACACAAAATAAAGAAGTGCACTTCTGTAGTTTCCTGTAACTTAGAAAAAGCAAAAATGGCAGAAAATAAAGAAAACAAAAATGGTACAAAATGTGTGGGTCAATAAATTACATAACAATGTGTTAGGTCATGAGGGGGATCCAATGATCATCACATCGGACTTTTTAGGAGCAACCACATAAGTGAGAGAAACACTACATATTAATCCAAAACCTTAAGGCATTGATTCTATGAGTCTTCTCATTTATAAAATGTTTAACATTCACTTTTTTCTTCGATGTGCGACTCATACTCATACTTGATATACCAACACAATGAATGTAACTATCTATATAGAATTGTTTCTTAAAAAAACATAATGTACATATTTCATAATGCGTGAAGAGGAAATACAAAGAGGAAAATGAAAATAAAAATTACCAAACGTGTAGTTGAAGTTGAAGTATTTGGATTAAATGAGTGTTGAAAAGTAATTGATAAATCACTTGGGTTGAATGGAGGAGAAAAAACACTTGGATTGATAAAATATTTTAGGGTATTATAAAAGCTTGAAAATAAATTATGATTTGGTATGTTTTATAGGAAATGAGAAAGGGAGAAGGTCTGACATGTATTTTGATTCAAACCTCGCATGGAAGTACACATGTTTTCAAACTCGCGGGTAGACTTGTAAACTCGTACGCGTTTACGAGTTTAAGAAGAAAAAATGAGTAGACTAGTGTATAGAATCGTTTTTTGATAGACTCGAGTAGACTCGCACAAACTCGTATAGACTCGCGAATCTATGAAGAGTTTTCGAGTCTATAAGTTTTTTTTTTAATTTTGTTTTATTTAACCATAAAAGGCCCAAACTCCCCCAAAATATTTATTTTATTTAAATAAAACCCTTATTTTGTTTGCTTGTACAAACATTAGAAAGCCTCTCTCCTAGACATTAGAAAGCCTTTCATCGTTGACGTGCGTTTGTGTTTATTTCTTGCTTTATTCGTATTCGTTCCCGTAAATCAATCATTCATTGTGTAAATATTTTTATATATTTCATTTGGATGTTTCTCTTGCATAAAGATGATGAATGGATAGTCGAAGATCCTAATGAAGAAAATGTGCAAATTGAAGTTTATGTTGAGAAAAATGATGTTACTGTTAACAATGTTGTGGAAGTTGATGATGTTGTTACTAAAGTTGTGCAAAGTAGTGGTGATGGTGGTGGTGGTAATGATGAATTAGGTGGAAGTGAAACATCTACCAATCCAAATTTGATGATGATACTCAAGATACCGATAACGATGATAGTGATGAAATTGATGGTGGTGATTTCACTGGAGCTTTGGATGTTTAATGCAATTAGCATATCTATTTTATGATTGTTTTTTTTTTCTTTATGCAGTAACCAATTAATAAGAAATTAATACTTTAAATCTTTAATTACGTACTTTATTATTTTGTTTATTTTATTATTGAGTTTTTCTTTTGTTAGAAAATTTTTATGGAGTATGAAATTTAAATTTGATGTTAATTGGTGTTTTATTATATACATTTTATCATATACGAGACATTTACATATTTAAAAATATGTGTGTCATTTATGTGTCACATACAGGTTTTTAAAAGTCGTTTTTCATTTTTTATAGACTTGTATGAGTCCGCGAGTCGAATCTACAGACCATTTACGAGTTTGAGTAGACTCATGAGTTTGATCGTAAATTGTGGGCCCAAAAATACATGTGACATTTTTTTTCACAAACAGCCCACTACTAGTGCCAAAAATGATCCATTTTGAAGAATTCATTTTTGTTAATCATTGGTAAATGAATGTGAAACTTTCTTACATATAAATTCTTTTTCAGATCAAATAGTCTGCTCAAATATTTTGTCCATGAATAAGTAAATTATGCGTAATAGTCTGCAATCGATGTATTTGAGCACACAAATGAATGAGACTTTATATCTATAATATTGTAACTTGAATAAGAATGCTTATATTCTTTACTATAATAATTGATAACTGGCATTTTCTTTCTTTATAAAGTATTCACCCTAGAAATTGATGGTTTCACCATTGCATAGAAGCCATCAACTATTTATCCAAAGAGTTTATTAAAACAAAATTCAATCCATAAGCCCCAATGCATCATGGAAGTTATCAATTATTTCTACCCCAAAACACAAACTCCACTATACAAATGCATTCAATAATAATCTTGAAACTTAACCGTTAACAATGATAAACTGCATAGTGCACACTCTCTCCAAGTTTAGATGATAAAGTGACAAAAATAACTTCAACCAGTGCTTGATTCTGCTTTCTTTACCATAGCAGCATGCTTCTGGCCAACAAGGTGCAAATTGAAAACCGTCTCGCTATTACACACCACATTGCATAAAGTACACGTTTTAACATTATTAACCGCAGTTCCTCCTTCCACAACTTTACGTTTCTTTGCCTCGATATCGAGTTCTGATGCCTTCTTTGCTTTTGGTTGATCGGTATCTGGCTTTTCCTGTGGTCCAATTAGAGTATTTGTAGCAGTGGCAGTGGCGCTGGTGCCAACGTCGATTTTCGGATTCGACAGTTTCTCCAAGTTCTTCAAGTGTTTCTTTCCGGCTAAGTGTGTAATGTACATATCCCTGCTGTTACAATTAATCTTACAAGTTTCGCACCATGCAGATTGAGCAACCTTGATTTTCTTAGCGGCTTTTTGAAATGGAGGAACTCCGTTACGCTTGAATTCCGCAATAGATAGACCAATGCCACCATTAGACATCAAGCAAACCTATTAACAAAAAGTGGTAACTATGATATAGAATGAGGAGAAAACAGCAAAACATACAAGTGTTTCATGTAGCCATACAAAAGGATAAAAAAATTAACAATTTACCTGAGCTGCGTGCTTTTTCCCAGCAATATGTTTGATATATGTGTCGTGACTTGTACATAAAACATTGCAAGTTGTGCAAACCTTTGACTGTACCACCTGTTTCTTAGTCTCCGGTTGCTTGACTACAGGACCAATTAGCGCTTGTACTTGGGCGCTACTTACGCCACTTTGTAAAATTTTCTTATGTTTCTTTCCAGCGATGTGCTTTTCATATGAATCTCTGCTATTGACATCAAGTTTACACACTTCACACCTCAACGCTTGGGTGAATTTGGTTTGGTTCGGCAACATTGTTGTAGTCTCGTTGCCATAAATTTGACATGGCCATATAGCATTCCACGCAGAAGGTGCAGAAGTCTCATATGATGAAGCAACCGCCTGCAATATTAGAACCATTAGAATACAAAACCCTGAGAAAATCAGAAGCTTCCAATAAAATTTACCTCTTGAAACGGGTTTTGAAAAGGATCAGAGTTCAAAGAAGAAAACACATACAAGTGATTAGCGCGTGAAGATACTCACATTCATAGTTAATTAGTAATTACTGCATGAGTTTGTTTGGCTGCTAGCTCTACTTCTAAAGCATGTTATCATATTTGGTATTGTCTCCCATGAATTGCAGAAAATAATGATTTGTTCAACCACTAACAAAAGCCACTATTTGACAATACTTTGTAATAAATAGAGTAATGCGGAACCATAGCGCCTTGTTCAAATTCCACATTACTATAGCACTGCTCATGGTTTTAAATTGCAGTCCGCAATTGCAATTGCAGCCACAATATTGCTGATGTGGTAGCCTCCGCAACTGCATCATACCACAATTGCGGTGTGAATTAAAAACACGTGTCTGACCGCCATTCCAAATCACATCAGACAATTTCACCCATATTTCTTCAAGTATTTTCATAAAAACTCAAAATTCTCGCAATACCCGCAATTTAAAACCACGGCGCTACTATTTGACAACACTGGTTCTATTGGAGTTCATTATCAATTATTAGGTAGTGATTGCGGTCACAGAGACATCGAAAACCACGATGATGTGGCCACCATTGCAGTATCGATCAATTTAAAAAACCCTAATTATGACAATCATGCCATTACCTCTTTTTTCTCTTGCAATCATATTAGCCCAAAGAAATTCAGATGAATCCCATCACCCAGATATTGGAACTCCATGTTATCATATCAACAAGTCAAAAACTTAACAAAATATATTCTGAGGTAACAAGTTTTAAAACCCTAACAGGAACAATAAAATGCAACAATAATTTCAATAAATCAACGAAAATAACAACGATTAATAGTGAGAATAAGAAAGCGACCCAAATGACATAACATAGGAAAAATCAGATTTTGATACGAAAATTGAAAACTTAGATCAAAAGGGTAAGTGGTACTAACATTGCCAAGATCGTAACCGATGGGTTCAGGTTGTTGAGCGACCCAATTCTGATAATCTGCTGTTTGTGAGGCGTAAGCAGAAGCGGGAGCGGGAAAAGGTGCTGAATTTGCAACTGGGATAGTGCCGGGAGGATGAAGCGAAGAATCTGAAGTGGGAGGGAAAAAGGAATAGTAGGGTTGTTGTTGTTCACGATGTTGTTGTTCATGATGTTGTTGAGATTGGTAGTGTTGTTGAGGATACATTTTGGAAGAATTCGGGTGAAGGAGTCTAGTTTGTATATTTCATTGCAATTGATTATTGATTTGTAGAACAAGACAACATAGGATCATTTGGGAATAGGAATGGCAAAGAAGTGGGGCAATGATGCGTTTTGTCTCCTATTTAAATTAATATCTCAAACTTAATCGGGATTAAATAATTAAACTCAAAAATCGTTTTAAAAGAGTTTGGATATCATTATCATTCGCTCCATCTGCCCTAAAATTAATTTTAAAAAATTAAAATAATATTTTTATTAAAGATGACAAACGGTTATATTCGTCCCGTTTAAATCCGCATAAAAAAAGAACATGACGATAGGATGTGCATCTAAAATATTGGCTCGTCCCAAAAAAATAAGGGTGGGTGGCTCCATTAGGCTTTGCACCCCTTAAAATATTCTTTTTTTTAAAATTTTTTTTTATAATACTTAACTTTTTATAAAGATAAAACTCATCTAGTGGAATTGAAATATTTGTTGGATAAAGAACTATTGGATAATGATTTTTTCTTTTTTGGTACTTGGTGTTACTATTCCCTGTATTGTGAAACATCATTGTGTCTTTTTTCTGACAAAATTTTTATTCTTGTAAGATTTTTGTTCAGTTCTTCTTCTTCCTCTTCTTCTTCTTTTCTTCTTGTTTGTGTGTTGATCAAACTAAACCTAAGATGAGTTCTTTAGTTAATTCTCCTTTGAATCAGCTGGTTGTCATCAATGAAAAGTTTATGAATTTTGATGAGTTGCTTAAGATTGGTTTCAACTTCTAGAAGACTGTGTCTAAACAAGGTTGGAATGGCTACTTTGAGATGCTCTGTGGTTTCACTTATCCAAATCTTGTCAAAGAGTTTTGGATCAATGCCTTCATTGTTGAGCTAAATTTTGAGTATGTTATTATGTCTAAAGTAACTGGTGTTTTTGTTACAGTAACCTCTAAAGTGATTGCAAATATGATCAATTGTGAGGAGATTGGTGAAATCCCAAGAACTCTTGTTTGGGAACACTATCTGTCTACATGGCGTATCTTTGTAGACCCATCTAATACATCTGCGGTCTCAAATCTTATTCTTGATGCTGTTGTTTAGAATCAGATTCTGATTTCAAACTTACTTCCTAAGGATAAGAATTTAGACCAAGTGGACCCTATTAAAAAAATCTACTTCTACTTCTTAATTCAAATTTGAAGATTGATCTTCCTCAAGTTATGTTTGACCGTCTGAAGAGGTCTCTTTCTTCTTTTCAAAAGGGAAAGACCTTCTTCATTCCTAAGGGACGAGTTATTTTTGAAATACTTGTTCAACAAGGGGTTAACATGAGTTCTGAGGCTAGTTCTTCCAAGATTTGGAGAGACGAGTTTGAAGTTATCTATGAAAGATTATGATGTTAGATTTCTTCATAGTTATGCTTTGTATGTTGTTGAAATCTTTGTATTGAGCATCTTATTAATAAATTCAGAGTTTGTTCATGCTCGTGTTCAGTTTTAACTGATTAATATTTATTCTTGTTGTTTAATGAGAATCTGAAATAGATAAAAGAACTCAAATGTTTGCAACCTATTCCATTAATAAAAAGGAAGCTATTATAAGACAATTGGATTTTCTAGTCTAATGGATGATGCCTTAGGAATTCCCTAGGTTCATCTGACAAGTCCAAATTATCTAAGAAATCTTTCCATTCTTCCTTAGCAAACTCCAAAGCCTATTTTCTCAGTTTGTTTCTACATCTGAATCCATATGATCTTCTTCTTTTGTGAGTCTTCACAAAGGATGCTGAAGAGGAGAGCACTTTTGGGGTTGTCTGCTTGCTTGCAGATCCTTCAGGTGCTGCCTTATGTTGCATCCCAAAATTTGCCTAACCTTTTTCTTACTTAGTTTATGTTTCATTGCATTAGCATATCATTGGTCTAGCATTTGCATAGCATAGCATTATTCATTTAGCATGGAATCAAGTGTGGTTTATATCAGGAGGAGCCTGCCTAGAGGTCTCATTCAAGCTTGAGAGGTCACCAAAGCCATCAGTGGGTTGTGAAGCCTTGATCATGGATAAGATATATGGATAGAGCTCATTGGAGGCCTTGAGGGTCATGGTGGAGCTCAGTCAAGTCATTATGCCAAGAGTGAAGAGCCACAGTTGAGGGTGTTACAATTAGAGTTCATCTGAGTAACCTTGAGTCCACTGTGTAATTGAAGAGGATCAAAACCTATTTCTAAGTCATGGTGTTCATGGAATGTTATGTTGAGGCATTTGAGATGTTATTCCAAGATCAATTCAAGAAAAATTCAAAGTGTGAGGAGTTGCTAAAGTAGGGTTTTCATGGTAAAATCCACTATTTAGTGCCTGACTTCAAGACCACTTATTTCAATATACAAGTTTCATCTTAACTTTTGTCCAACATGGAACTTGTAGATAATGTTCTTAGCTTTAATTTGAGTACTAGAAGTCCTCCATTGGATTTATAGAACTCAAGTTATGATTCAGACAAGTTACAGGTCATCAGATGAATGTGAAATTTGTCTGCAAAAGTCAACCGGATTCCAAGGAACTTTTGACCTAGAAGGGTGTTTCTCCTCAACTTTTGGCCAACATGAAAGTTGTAGGTCTTGATCTTGGCTTTCCAAATTGTACTAGAAGTCTTTCATCTGATGTGTAGAACTCAAGTTATGAGGTTTATAAGCCAGGGGTATTTTGGGAAAGTAAGATTATAGGTCATTTTGTATTATGAGTCATTTTCACTATCTTGTGAGCCTCAAATGAAGTTTTGTCCAAGACAAAACTTGTTCAAAATGGGATTTTAAGGTCAACCATGTATCCATAAGGCATTGGTTTGGCTTAGGGCAAGACTTGGTTCATGGAAGCTTGACAAAGGGGAAATTAAAAGGCATTTAAGTTGAAAAATTCAAATTTAATCATAAGAGGTCAAGAAAATGCATATGAGTACTCATTTTGACTAGAAAAACCATTTGGAACACTTTGGAATTACTAGAAAATCCATTTGAGGCATAATTCATGGCTTTTTACTTTATTGCTTCATGGTGAAGTTACATCTCAAAGATCCACCCTAGGATGCAAACAAGGCCTCAATCTGGTTCTTTCATTCTCCACAGTCCACAAGCAAGGCAAATGAAGCTTCTTGGAGAAGGAATCACCCCAAAATCGTGTATTCCATTGTTGAGTTTTAGAAGAAAATTGAAAACTTGGATATCCTGAATTGGGCCTCCAATGGGCCTTCAAATCACTCAAATCCATTCTATTTAAGTTCAGAAAGAGATTCAAACAAGGATGCAAACAAGGCCTCAATCTGGCTCTTTCATTCTCTATAGTCCACAAGCAAGGCAAATGAAGCTTCTTGGAGAAGGAATCACCCCAAAACCGTGTATTCCATTGTTGAGTTTTAGAAGAAAATTGAAAACTTGGATATCCTGAATTGGGCCTCCAATGGGCCTTCAAATCACTCAAATCCATTCTATTTAAGTTCAGAAAGAGATTCAGATCAGTTTTGGTGGTTATTTTGCGCAAGAACCAAAGATTGCAGTTAGAATTTTCAAGCTTCAACTGAAAATCGTGTTTCCATTTCAAGAGCGTTTCAGAGCAAATCTTGGATTCTATCATCTTCAGCATTCATCAAGGAACGGATCTGCACAAGATTGAAGCAAGAATCACAGTGTAACTGCTCTAATTTCAAGCTACAACTCAGGTTGGTAACTTTCACGATTGCTCTAGTTCTAGGTTGATTTAGGTAGATTTGAACTATGGTTAAGGCTTAGGAAGAAGTGTAAATGGATTTAGGTTCATAATTGTGGAGTTTAGAGACAATCTAAGTCATGATCAGTTTTCTGTTTGACTTCAAATCAACCTAATCTTGAGGTGTTAGCATGATTGGAATAGCTTAAGTTGATCTCTAAAGCATGAGGAAGAGATCTGTGGCTTTAATTGTGAGATTGGTGATGATCAAGATCTTGGTGATTTTTCTGTTATCTATCGTGTTTTAAAATCCAGTGAGAATTAGGAGAAAAGGATGATGGATTTGGATTCAGGATGAAAAATAGAGAAGATCCATATAAGGTTCAACGTGATTTGATGACCTGTAAGTGATGCCTCACCGGAGAAGACGGTGGCTCAGCCACCGAACCACCGCCCTGAGAGTTTCCCTCCTGAACCAGTTTGAATGTAGACGATGAACCATGACCCTTGGATGAGTGGAAATATTTGACTTAGTCTCCCAATCGTGCGCTTGTGATTTAATCTGAGACTTGACTTTTGACTCCCCAAAACATTGTCGTTCCATTTATGTGCTGGCACGTGCTGATCCATCAGATGGATTGACTTAGTCACAGATCCAGCGCTTCTAGCTTTTTTCTGTTTCTTTTATTTTGTTTATTCATTTTGCATTTATTTTAATTGCATTTTCTTGTTTAATTCATAATAAATTGAATAATCATCAGAAAAATATAATAAAAATATGTGGATGCTCATAATTTAATTTCTGATTTTTTGGCATTCTTGGATTTTATTTTGATGTAATTTCCAATTTATTTGCCATTTTTCCATTTTATTGATTTCATTTAATTTGTAATTTTATGCTTGTTATTTGTTGATTTTGGTACTCCTTTTTGGTATAGAATTTGATCTTGATTCTTTGCTGGTTTGTTATAGACATGTTAAGGAGCTTGTGTGATTTTTAGGGTAATTTTTAGATGACTTTAAGTTCTGTTTTGACCTAGACTTTTAGGGGCTTCCCCATTTGACATCCCTTTGGACACATTTGGGTTTTTAGGATTTCTTTATTGATCTTCCCTTTAGATTCAGTCCCTGACTTTTCTACCATAGGTCCCTAACCCTCTTAGGATCCCTTAGAAAATTCCCTAGAATGTTAGAACTTTATTTCATATTTTTATTAGAATTAACAATTGGACTAGTTTTATGATGCTTCTAACATGACCTTTCCTTTAGAATGACCTCAATGGTAACCCATAGCATGAAATAAAT